TTAGTAACTAAATAAGTTAATTAACAGTTAATTAAACACAGAAATAAATTAAAACAGACAAGAGAACAAAATGCTTTTGACAGAAATACAAACACTTATTTTTATTCAAAATATACATGGTCTCATATTTTTTTTTTTTTTTTTCATATATATTCTCATATTGAATGACATGCTTTTTTGTGCAATTAACACGCGAATACATTTATTTACACTCATGTCTTCAAAATCAACATAATTATACATAATAATTATTATTCTCAATTCAACCTCATATAGATGTGATTATAATTTAATTTTAATTATAATAACTCACGTTGAAATATTTCTTATTTTTTATAATTTATAATTATTTCTATTTCTCTGACAGTGAATAAATTAAAATTCATCAATTAAAAATTAAATAGAAAAAGAACAATAATCAATTATTATTCACTAATATTGACGAGAAAGGACTTATCAAATTATTTTCAATTAATTTTACTTTCAAATAATATTAAATAGTTAAATTATTAATATTACCTAAATACTAATAATAAATAATAAATAAATTATTTTCAAATAATAATGGAATGTTTGCAAAAATTTATTAGGGCGAAAGAAAAAAATGTATATAACAAAACAATTCAGAGTAATAATAATTATTAATTAAATAAAAACAATTAAAATAAAAAATACCAATAAAAATAAATTTTAATTAATTAAATTAATACTATAGTAATAGCAATGAAAATAATAAAATTGTAATAGCAATAAAAATAATAAAATAGTAATAATAAATATATAAATAAATAAATATCAATAAAATTAACAAAAAAATAACAATAATAATAATTTGCAAATAAATCAGGAATATCGGTAACAATTGTAATACGAAATTACTAATAAGTTTACAATAAAATTACTCTAGATAATTTTAATTAGTTTATCCTGTATTATTGTCTATTGGCTACTTATGTAAATTATTCCATTTTTATGTTCAGTAAAGTAACATTTTTTAAATTTTCAATCAAAAATAAATTTACTGAAGAATGTAACATTTCAGGTACAGTGAAGAGCAAAAAAATCGATATGCAATTACACTAAACAAATTAATATACTATAGGAATCATTTTACGATCACAGAATCAATGACAGAATGAATAATTTCACTGAAAAAAATTTATTTGATTCAAATAATTTTTCACTTTATTTTATTCATTTATTTCTTAATTAATTTTTTTTCTTTTATTTATTCAAATTCAATGTTTATTATCGAATAAATATTTACTTAAATCAACTAATTTTTATTTAAATCAAATAAATTGTATTCCAACCAAAAATTTTAATATTTGCATCAAATACAATTTAATTGGTTTCAATAAAAATTATTTGATTCAAGTAAATATTTATTTAATAATAGATAGATCCGTTACTTGAAGCAAATAAATTTTTTTCCATTGTATAGTATTTTGATTGAAAAGAATAATAAATAAATAATAAATAAATAAAAAAGTAAATTAAATCCAAGCAATTATTTTTTCTCTTGATTAAATTATTAAAAACTGAATTACATAATGAAGTAATTAAAAAATAAATTAAATTCAATTATAAATATTTTTCTAAAAAACAAAATTTTTTTTCTTCATGAAACAATAAACATTTGCTTGACTAAAAATTAAATATTGAAAACGTTAAAAATGTAACGTTTAACTGAAAATATTCTCCATAGTTGACAAAAAGTTCTTGTACATTTTGTGATTCGTAAAATTCAATTCTATTTCAATATAAATAGTGAAATACTGAAATATTACAAGGTTTTTAATTGCATATAACGATTCGCCTAATTTAAGCTCGATTTAGCTTTCCTTTAATACTGACTTGATGAATACTTTTCGTCTATATATATCTATTTAGTTATAAAGGAGAAAAAAATAATCATAAAGTTTGACGGGCTTAATTAAATTATAATGTGAAATAAAAAAAGACATTTTTTTTGTTCCAAATCATAATTTAATTAACATGTCGAGCTCGTCAACAGTAGATAATTAATTGAATAAATTGATCTTTTTTCTATAGAAACATAATACATATCGCTATCTATTTTTTCTCTTATATTAAATAGCATTCACTTACGATATCATATTTTATTTTTGCTATTCTGTAATTATTCTTTATTTTTTTTAATTTTAAACAAATTTTTCCATTCAATTACCATTTGTTAAATTAATTTTTAATTATAAAATGCAATATAAATTATAAATTATTATTTGTAAATTTTTGTAAATTATAATTTATTATAAATTAATATAGATTATAAATTATTATTAATTGTAAATTATTGTAAATTGTAAATTATTGTAAATTGTAAATTATTGTAAATTATAAATTATTAAAAATTATAATTTAATAATTTTAATGCAAATAAACAATTATTTCGAACTATTTCCGATTTAGAGAAATAATTAGATTTAGAGACAAATTAAATTAATTTAAAAATTAAATTTTTATGACAATAAAGAAAGAATTAATACATTTATAATTATAGAATATATTATAATTCATTTAATCATTGATTCGAATCAATTAATAATTTCATTAACGGAAATATATAAACTTTCATAAAATTGGAGAAAAAAGAAAATGAATAAGTAAAATTTTCCCTTTCTTAAATTTCCATTAATAAAAAATTTAATTTTATATATCAATTATTCAATTTTCATTAATATTTCAGCATTATTATTTAACGTATTGATTTAGTCATAATTTATATAAAAAAGGTGGTCGATTTCACTAAAAAATTTAATTTTCAATTGCAATACTAATTTTATTCGCTGATGGAATTATTTATTTGAAAATATTATTATATATTATTTGATTTATACGAAAATATTAATAATATTATTATTATTTATTTATAATATTAGAATTCTTTATTTCGAAAATAATACTTATTCATTAATTATATTTTGTCAATTAAATTATTAATTTAACGATTTCTATGATAAAATGCTTTCGAGGAGTTCTTAAATATATTTAAATTTTTTTTCTTAAATGTAAGTATTTAGCATTTTAGACATAAAATATTTTCAATATAATAAAAATACACTTATTTATATACATTTACATGTATATTACTTTTCTCACTAACGTCTCGCATAAGATTTTTTTTTTAAATGGGATTACAAATAATAATTATTTTCAGTTAATTAATCTATAAATAATAGTTGTGAAAATATCGTAGAATCAACAACAATTTAAAGTGATATTTTTTCACTATTTTTTCAATGTAAATTATTTTTTTCTTTTGAAAAAAAAATTATTGATATTATTAAGAAATAATTTCAATGACTTTTTTTTAGAAGTAATTTTCAGAAGTAATTTTTTATTTGAGCAAAAATCACTCTTATTATTCTTCTGAAAATCAATTTTCTTCTGTGGAAATTATTTATCATTTTTTTTTTTTTTGTTAATTGAATTCAAGTAATTAAATTTTTCTTAGTGAAAATTTTAATTTTAATCAAAATTTTTTAAAATTTATATCCCTGAACTTAGCGTCGACTCTTAGCGTCGAAAACTTAATTTTCTTTTAGAGATAATCACTAAAATAAGTGATTTTTTTAGTGACTAACGTCAATAATTTCACCTCTATTATTTACCTAGGGAGTTAAAAACTTTTTTTCAAGTTAAAATCTTTAACAAAAATTGTTTATTTCTTTTTGGTTTTACGAAAAAAAAATTTTTGACGCTTAGCGTCGACGCTAAATTCAGGTGCCTTTTAAGTTTAAAAAAATATTTAATTTCCAATCAGACTTGTACAAAAAACATGGAAAATTCATCTCCGCCTTTAATTTGTTGTTAAACATTAGTTTTGTTGCCAATTTAAAATAAAATTATCAGACTTTTCAATTATTTATTATAATAATATAGTGGATTTTTTTTTAAAATCTCAGTCAGAAGGCTTAACGTGATATAATTTATATATATAGCTTTTAAAGATATGTCAATAAAAAATTATTATTACAAAGACGCCTATTATAAATTGACTAGTTTAATTAGGTAAGAAAATGCGATAATTAAATAGATCCTACACTCTGAAATATAAATTCGTCATTTTTGGACTAAAACTAACAGATTTATTCATTAAATGAATTAGTAACCAATTAAAAAAATTGTTAGTCGAAAAATTATTAAAGTAAATTATTAAATTTACAACTGAATTATTGATTATTAGTAAACTTTACTAAATAAATTACTAATTATTAGTGAACTTTACTAACTGAATTAATAATTATTTTCAAACTCTAATTACTGAATTAGTAATTATTGGTAACCTTTACCAAATGAATTACTAATTATTAGTAAATTTTAATTGCGGAATTAGTAAAATTTAATAATTGAATTACTAATTATTAGTCAAATTTACTAATCGAATTACTAATTAATTAACTCCAATAACTAAAGAATTAATTATTAGTAAACTACAATAACAAAATAAGTTGTGTTTTTACTACAAAATTTTAATTTACAGTAAATTATCACTAAAATTATTCCAAAAAAAAGTTACTAAATTATTTAATAAACCAATCAAGTAAAATTAGCAGAAAAAATGGCTAATTTAGATTCAGAGATTACAATGGTCCAGCAGAACGAGATCTAAATTTTTTTAGAGCCATTAATTTCTCGAGGCATTGTGTTTTTTTTTCTCCAACATTTTTTTCCTTTGTTATTTTCTGCGCATAACTTTTGTTCTTTTTTAAAAAAATTTATTTTACCATTTGTTACAGTTCACAACGTTTATAATAAACAATTTAAAAAAAAAAATTTTTCAGTAAAATTTTTGTCTCGAAAAAATTGATACATTACTCCTTTCATATCGAAGACTAAAAAAAGAAAAAAATTTCTAAACCTAAAATATTGTTTTTCGTTTAAAAAAATTTTTTTCTAATCATTAATTAAAAACGTAGTGAATTGTACGATTTTTATTTAAAAAGAAACTTTTATTAATTTTTAGTAATTCCAGAAATCAGTAGATTTCTTTCAAAAACAAAAAACAAAGAAATTATTTTCTTTTTGCTTTCGACTTTGAAAAGAAAAACAAAAAAAAAAAAAAATTAAATGACTTTATCGTTGACGTAAAACGTGACCAGCTTATCTTCCGAATGTTCGTCCTCCGATGTTTCTGGTTCCGTGTTTAATTTACTGAAATCACGTGTATTTGGTCTTTTCTCAAAAAATTTAAATTTCCTTCCCGCTCTATTATCCAGTAGGCTTGTGAGCTTAAAATTATCTTTTCTCTCGCTCTCCCATATTGTTCTTCTGCGAGACGTTAATAAACATCCTGCAGAGAATATACATTATTTTTACCCATTTTCTTTGTTCTTTTTTTTAAATTAAATTTAAAATTTAAAATTACATTTTTTGTTTTTTTTATGTAACAAAAAGAATGGCAATCATTATTTAAAATAATATGCAAGCAAATAATTATTTTTGCAAACAATGTTATAACAACAAATTAAACAAGTTTTCTATTTTCACGCAATAAAAATAACACACATTCAGTACATTAAAGTTGGGGACTAATATTAATAATAAGTAAAAATAATAATAATAATAATAATAATAATAATAATAATAATAATAATAGATCTAAAAAATCTTTTTTTAAATAAAATTATAATACCTATAATAAATAAATAATTAAGAAAAATAATTATAAACTTATAATAAAATTAATTAAACAGTTAAATACAACGGTTCTAAATTACAACAACAATAATAAATAATATTAATAATAAATAATAATAATAAAAATTATAATAATAATAATAACAATAGTAATAGTGATAACAATAATATTAATAATAACAATATATAATTGTATAACGCATAATAATATATTAACTATAGAATAACTAATTATAACAATAACAATATTATTACAACAATGCCAAACAATGACAACATTTATTATAATTAAAAAAAATTAGCACTTATAGTTAGCGGGTAAAAAAATAATTATAAAGGAATTAGAAGGAACATAAATAAAAACAATGAAAAACGTAAAACAATAGATAACAGAATAGAGAAAATAGTTTATTCTCGTGTATGAATAAATGAAAATGAACAACAAATAAAATTTCTAGCCACCAATGTAAAAAATGTTTATGTTAAAAGTTAAGTACAAAAAATAATATCATAAAGACGGAATGAATGCGTTTAATTGCTAAACTTCATAAGTTCTAAATATGTAACTTTCTAAATCTGAATTAGTAAAAAAGTTTTAATAAAATTTTTAATAATGTTTTTAATAAAATTTTTAATATTTTTAATAAAATTTGTTACTAAAATTTGTTACTAAAATTTGTTACTAAAAAATTTTTAAAATAAGATAGTAAATAAGTAAATTTTAAAAAATTTTTAGTAAAATCTTGTTTAATTTTTCTTTTTACTAAGTTTTAGGTAAGTGAAAAGTTTTTTTCCTTTTAAGGAAAAAAAACTGGAGAAAAAAATTTTTTAAGGAAAAAAAAGTCTACAAAAAAATTATAAAAAGAAAGAAAAAAAAATAATAATAAAAACAAAACAGCTAAGTTACTGTTTATTCGTTTAAGTAATTAATTATATAAAAAAAATACTAACTAAAAAACAAAACTCAGAAAACAAAAATAAAAAAAATATTTAAATTTAACATAAGAGAATTGGTTAGAAATTGTATTTATTATATTTTCGACAAATTTACCATTTTGAACTAATTCTGATTTAGAAAGTGAATAAAATAAACAGCTCAACTCACTGCTAATAATTACACGATAATTACATGAATGCAAAAATGCACTCTACTTATTCACCCGCTACAGTCTTCGGCAAAAGTTATAAAGTTTAATTATTATTATTATTATTATTATTATTATTTTTCTCTAAATATTAATTTTTATTTATTTGTTTAATTCTTTCAAGCTATAAACCGGCTTTTAAAGAAAAAAAAATTGAAAATTTTGTACATTTACTTTTTATTTTATCAATTATTTTCAATTATTTTTTCCATTATTTTTTTTATTCTATCATTTATTTTATTATAATTTACTTTCGTAGAAAAAAAAATTTCAAAAAATAGTTAAATATTCCTAGTCCCTCTTTTTTAGGAGGAAAAACTTTTGACAAAGACTGCCACTGATGAGTTACATTCAGAAATAAAAATCTATTTACATAAAACTATGAAAATTAGACTTTAAATTGAAAGAGAGAAAAAAGTCTTGAACATTAAACAAAAATTCTGTACAACATTTACAAAAATGCACAATATGCTAAAAACTAAAAATCCTCCAAACGATGCATAAACGTACATTTACAACTATTTATAAAATAAATAAAAAATATTTTGCTTTTAAATTACATAAAGTATTAATATCTTTGGTTAAAACAATAATGCACATATAAAATTTGCGAATAAATAAAAATAATATCCAATCGCGTTTAAATTATTATGTTTACAAAATTATTATAATATATTATAATAATTACAATTTTATTAGTAATATATTATAAAATATTTTTACATTATAATTTAATAATTATTAATAAATTATAATAATTTTGTACAAATAAAGTACAATATTTTACATTATATAATATAGAATTTTATATAAACGAAAAAAAACCTTCACTTGAACGAACAAGTTTATCTAAAATAGCGAAAGGATTAATTAAACAAACTAAAAGTTTCGCTAATATTCGCAAATATTTCCTAGTTTCAAATATTCAATTGAACGATTATTTTTTACTTTTTTTAATTTGTATTGTTTATTAAAAAAGAAATTATTTTGTGGATTACAAAATTGATTTTCAACTAAATAATCTTTAATTTTAATCATTTTTCCTTTTTGGACAAAAAAATTATTTTTTTCTTTTAATTTTTAATTTCAATTAAATTAATTTTTTAATTTTTTAAAAAATATTTCATTTATTCAGTTAATTTAATGTAATAATTAATTTAAAATTTTATTTTATACAGTTAAACGTTCATAACTTTAGGAAAATTTAATATAAAAAATTCCAGTTAAAGGTTTTTTTCCGTTTATATAATGTAGAATTTTATATATTATAATAAAATTAAGTAAAAAGAAAAAAGTAAAAAAACAATAAAACCCATTATTAAATTAGGAAAACTTAAATAAAAAAAGCTCTTTTCAACAAAAACGTCACAAACAAGTAAAGAACACAAAGAAAATAATTGAAAAAAAATCTGCCTTTGCTAAAAAATTTTCTAAATTTACTAAAAATAATTTTGTCTGATTTAATTTTTCTACAAATTTTTTTTTACTAATAATGCTAATTATCAAAAATGAAATTTTTATCGTTATAAATTACTAAAAGAAAGAAAAAAAATTATTCCAACTCACAAATTGAAAAAGTATACAAATCCGAAATGTTCTAATAAAAAAAAAGTATAAATAAAAAATTTATGTTCTAATGAAAAAAAAGTATAAATAAAAAATTTTTTGCTACAATGCAAACACTTGTTTTATCTAATTAAAAAAAAATATCTAATACATTCTCACTCATCATCATTATCTTGCATTAATTTAGTAAATTCGACTCTATCATTTTCTTGACGAAATAATCTACCTCTTTTTTTCCACCTCGACACAATGACTGCCAATAATAAGCAGATTACAATAAGAACAGTTATAGATACGATGAGAGAAAATGCTAAGGAACTTGATTTTCCAGATGTCTTATTAATATCAATATCAGTTAAAAGTGCCGATTTAAAATCAGGAACTGATGTCCCAGATGTTTTTAAATCGGAAATTATTGGTTGAATTGATGAATTATTTCTACCTGCAATTAGAAAACAAATATATTTGTTACAAAAGCACAAAATGAAAAAGCTACCAAAAGTATCCTCAAGTCTCTCTAGAAGCCTAGTTTTAGGAGACTTTTACAAAAAAAATTTTATTCCAAAAATAAATTTTTTGAAATAAAAGAGAGAGGGAAAAATTAAACTACACTTCTGATTTTTTGGAGTAGAATAAATTTCTTTTGATTGTAACTTTAATTTTTTCTTTTTGGAATTCAATATTGTTAATTTGACAAAAGTCGGAGACTTTTAGAAAAACAATTTTTTTTCTATTTCTCGAAATTTATTTATCCCAATAAACTGAAAACGAAAAAAAAAAATTAAACTGTATTTTTAATTTTGGAGAGTAAAAATTTTCATCAAATTGAAATTTTAATTTCTTTGGTAATTGTCAATTTGAAAACAACATTCCTGACTTTGGAAAATAAAAATTAGGTACAAATTGCAATTTTAATTTTTTTGCTAATTTGGTCGTCAATTAGAAACGTTCATTAAACTACATTTTTGTTTTTAGAGAATAAAAATTTTCTTTTCATTGAAATTTCTATTTTTCTTTGGTAATTCAATTGTTAATTTGACAATAGTCGGAGACTTTTAGAAAGAAAATTTATTTATTGAAATTTACTTATCACAGAAAAATAAAAACGAAAAAAATTAAAAAATATTTGTAATTTTTGAGAGTAAAAATTGTCATCAAATTTCAATTTCAATTTTTCTTTGTAATTCTTAATTGGAAAACAACATTCCTGATTTTGGAGAATAAAATTTATCCTTAAATTGCAATTTTAATTTTTTTGATAATTCGGTTGTCAATTAGAAAAATTAAACTACATTTTTGTTTTTAGAGAATAAAAATTTCGTTTTGATTGAAATCTCAATTTTTCTTTGGTAATTCAATTGTTAATTTCACAATAGTTGGAGACTTTTAGGAAGAAAATTTATTTATTTATCGAAATTTATTTATCAGAATAAACTAAAAAAAAATTAAACTACATTTTTGATTTTAGAGAAAAAAAATATTTTTGATTGCAATTTTAATTTTTCTTTTGACAATTCAGTTGTCAATTTGAAAACTACATTTTTAATTTTGGAGAATAAAATTTTTTCTAAATTGTAATTTCAATTCTTTGCTAAATTGTCAATTTGAAAAATTAAAATAAATTTTTGATTTTGGATAATTGAAATTTTCTTTAAATTGCAATTTTAATTTTTTATTTTCGCAATTCAATTGTCAATTTAACAGAAAATAGTTTTCTGTAGAATTTTCTATTTCGTTTCTATTCCATTCGGATTTTTTAAATGAAATTTGGCAAAATTCTAATGGAAAATATTCTCTGGAATTTCGGTGAAATCTCTTTTCTACCAAATTTTCAAAAAATTCCAAAAGTAAATAAAAAAAGTATAACGAATTGAATTTGCATCAGAATAAAAAAGATCAGTATTCGAATTTAAATTCCAATCAGAAATTTGGAACAAAAGGCAGACTTCTCAAAAAATCCAACACATAAATATTATTCACAAAGGACTACAAAGGGTGTTTAAAAAAAAATAAATAAATAAGAAGAGGAAAAATAAACAAAACGTAAAAAAACTTTAAGTAATAGTAAATTTTTACAATTTGTCACTCCTAGGAGCCTTTTTGGAGCCTTTTTTGGTGCCTCTTCATTTATACATCCCGAAATTGTAATAATATTGGTTCATAAAGGGCAATTTCTGGTTGTTCCTTTTAAAGTTTCGTAAAGTTGACACTGTTGAGTGATTGTTTTTTTAATTTAAAATTGACAAAAACACTATTAATGACTGTTGAGATTTTTTTTTTTTTTGCTAATAGTAGTTTTAGAGAAAGTAGTTTTTTAAAAAAAATGATTACCTCGATCAAATCTTGTAACACGATTTGTATCCAATTCAACGACATAAATCTCAAGACCATCATTTGTCACTGCAATATCATGTGGTCTGCCCATTGGTCCATTTGGAGCGAATTCCGATACAACTTTATCGCTCTTAAGATCAATAATAAATCCTCGATTTGGTGTGTCCAATGAATCGGGTCCATTGACGAGGAATAATTTTTCTTGCGCATAAGCGACACTGTAAATTGCACCGCCAATCAAATCGCTACTGTATTCTTTGTGAAACGAGCCATTTGCTGCGTGAAAACATAAAATTCTTCCATTCTCACGATCGGCCACGTAGAGATAGCCAAATTCTTCGGCCAATGCTAATGCGTGTGGCACTGCAAAAGCGTCTGGCGATAAATTCACTTCTAAAAAGAAAAAAAATATATTGGGTTGAAAATTTTGAATCCATCCTAGGAAAATTAATTCTCCTAAATGAAAATTAGATTTTAGAGACAAGATCTGAAAAAAATTTATTTGATTCAAATAACTGCCTATTATCTAATAAATATTTACAATTGTTATTTAAGTCAATTAAATTGTTTTTAAATCAAAAAATTAATGTTCAAAAAGAAGCTAATAATTTTTTTTTAAACAAATATTTAAATACCTACTTATTTTGTCACAGGAATTAAAATATTTTAAATGATTTATTGGAATCATTTAAATGAAATTAAAATTTTCAAATTTAAATTTTGAAATTTAACTATATACAAAACTTTAATCATTTTATTTTAAAATAAAAATTTAAATATTATTGCAGTTTTACAACAATTAAAATTTTCAAAAATTTCAATTCAAAAATTTTTTCAAATTCAATTATTTCCACAAAATTTACACTATAACGGTTCTAATATTCAATTATTGTCTAAAATTTTTATAAAATTAAATTTTAAATCAATTCTTCTTAGAAAATTATAGAATTTAATTGTTTAAATAAAAAAATTAATAATTTATTGAATAATTGAATATTGATAAAACACAGGATAATTGAATATTTCTTAAAATTGAATTCTTTCAATTCTTTCAAAATCTTTATCGAAAATTAGAAAAATTGAAGTGTTACAAAGAATTTCATTAAAATTTCTGAATGTAATTAAATTCTTTTTAGAAATTTAATTAAAAATGTATTAAATTCCAATTAACAAATTATATCAAAATTCTTTGAAATAATTGAATTCTTTAGAAGAATTATAATAATAGGTAATTTTAAAAATAATTGCTTTTTTTGAGGAATTTATTAAAAATTGTAATAGAAATAATTTAAATCCGACGATAAATTTTATTAGTTATAAAAATAATTGAATTTTTGCAACGAATTTTATTAAATTTTCAAAAAAATTATTGAATTTTTGGTAAGAATTTTATTAAAATTTTTAAAAATAATTGAATTCTTGCGAAGAATTTTATTAAATTTTTTTTTAAATAATTTAATTCTATCAAAAAATTTTATAAAAATCATTTGAAATAATTGATTTTATTCAAAAAAATATGTCAATATTGATTTTTAAAATTATTAAATTATTGTGAGAATTTTATTATATATAAAAACAATTAAATTCTTAGAAAAATTTTATAAACTTTTTTATTAATAATTGAAATCAGAAGAAAAATTTTCAAAAAATTTTGAAAATAATCCAATTCTTTCAAGAAATTTAATTAAAATGTATTGAAAATAACTTTTAAATTCAAATAAACAAATTTTATCAAAACTTGCTGAAATAATTGAATTCTTTCGAAAAATTTTAATCAAACTTTTAAGAATAATTGCATTATTCGGGGAATACATTTAAAATTTTATTAAAATTCAAAAATAATTGAAATTGTGCGATGAGTTTTATTATTTATCAAAATAATTAGATTTTTGCAACGAATTTTATTACATTTTTTAAAAATAATTGATTTCCTGAGAAGAATTTTAATAACAATTTTAAGAATAATTGCTTTTTTTGAAAAATTCATTAAAAATTGTATTAAAAATAATTGAAATCCGGTGATGGATTTTATAAGTTATAAAAATAATTGAAATCCTAAGAAGAGTTTTATTAAAATTTTTAAAAATAATTAAATTCTTGCAAAGAATTTTATAAAAATGATTTTAAATAATTTATATTTTCGGAAAATTTCTGTAAAAATTGTTTTTTAAAAAAATTAAATGCTTGCAAAGAATTTTATAAAAATTTTTTTTTAATAATTGAATTCCGGAGAAGAATTATATTAAAATTTTCAAAAATAATTGAATTCTTAAGAAGAACTTTACCAATTTTTTTCTAAATAATTGAATTCTTTTGAAGAATTTTACAAAAACATTTTAAATAATTGATTTTCTTTGAAAAATTCTGTCAAAATTAATTTTTAAAGTAATTAAACTATTATGAAAATTTTATTATTTATGAAAATAATTGAATGCTTGGAAAAAATTTTATAATAATTGTTTTTAATAATTGAATTCATAAGAAGAATTTTATCAAAATTTTTTAAAATAATTAAATTCTTTCAAGAAATATAATTAAAATTGTATTGAAAATAATTGAAATCCTGCCATGAATTTTATTAGTTATAAAAATAATTGAATTCTTACAACGAATTGTATTAAATTTTTTAAAAATTATGGAAGTCCTTGCGAAAAATTTTATAAAAATCATTTTAAATAATTGATTTTCTTGGAAATAATTGAATTCTTTTGAGAAATTTTTTTATAATAATAGTAAATATTGAAAGTAATTAAATTTCGAAAATGCTTTGAAATTAATTAAATATTGTGTAAATAAAATTCTAATTATAAGAAGTAATAAAAGTAATAAAAATAGTTGAAAATATAGTTCGAAACTAGTATCATGATTTTTATTATTAAAAAAGAAAAATTAGAAATTAAGCTTTATTTGACAGAATCTTTTTTGGAAATTAAACTCGACTCGATAAAAAATCTGACTCGAAAAAAAATTACAATTTAGAAAAATTTAAGAAAAATCCTCACAGATTATTGAAAAAAAAAAAATTCTTATACAAAAAGGAAAATTCATAATTACCATAAATTCGATTACTTCGTCCCCAGGTCAATATTCTCTCCCCCTTGGAATTAAACTTAATAACTCTCGAATTACAATAGCCATCGGCGACAAAAAAATCACCATTCTTCATGACAGCAACGGAAGTTGGTTTGCAAAATTTCTCATTATCATTGCCTGGCTCAAAAGGTACACCCAATTTTAAACTCGGCTTAATAATACTATTATTAAATGAATTCTTAAAATCGGCACATTTTTCCAATTTTCCCTCATTACTATGTTGATGATTCGTGTCCTTAATTGATGAACTTCTAATTTTCATAATATCCTCAGCATCAAATTTAAATACTTGATGCATTGCAACATCAGTGATCCAATAATTTCCCAAATGATCAATTGTCAAGCCATGTGGCATGTAAAATATTCCACTACCCCAGTGAAATATTTCCTCGCCATTTTTATCCAATAAAATAATTGTCGGCTCTTTCACTGGTCCACAATTATTATTGAAATCAAATTCATCTTTTCCATTAAACGAACCGCCATCCCAGACGCGTGAACCTCGATGAAATATCGCAACATTCCCATTGGGATCTATTGAGACTGCTGAAACTTGTCCCAAATGCAATTGTGATCCCCAAGTTTCGTTCCAATGGATTTCTGAAATTTAAATTTTAATTATTATCCTTTTTTTTTTATTAACCCCTTTGGGAAATTTTTTTCTTAATTTTTTTTTTATTTATTATTTTATGAATATTTTTATATTTTATTTATTTACAGTTTTACACAGAAAAAAAATTAAGTATTATTTAATTCATAATCAAATACAATTTAATTGACTCAAATAAAAATTATTTGATTCAACTACATATTTAATTGATAATAGTAAATTAATCGGTTATTTGAATCAAAAATTTTTTTTTCTGTGTATAAATATAAAATTATATAAAATATAAAATTTACCAACAAAAAATCATTTATTTATTATTTTTTTCAATATAAATGTAAATATAAACAAAAAAAGTATAAAAATTAAAAATTCTGTTTCATGTTGATAAAAGAAATTTCCTACTTGGATCTAGTCTCTCCAGTGGTAATGGGGGTGCTCTCCTTGAAATGGAATTATAATTTCGGATGTTGAATATTGGATCCAACATCCTGTCGTTTTCCATTTCCTGATAATTATCAACGTCATTTCTATATTTTGAATCGCGATAAAAATTCACAGCTCGCTGAAAATACAAGTTAGATTAATATTCAATTTTTTTCAAAAAGAGTCGATACAAAAAAATTTGGTTTTAATAATTAATAATAAAGTTTCAAACAAAAAAACATTTTCTACAAAAAAAAATTTTTTTTCAATAATTAATAACAAAGTTAGTTATAATAGAAAAGAAAAAAAGTTCTCTACCCAAGAAATATTTCAAGAAAAAATCAATATGTAAATGAAAATAGAAAAAAATTTCCACATATTTAAATTGATAAAAATGTAAGAAAAAGTAATAGAATAAATAAATCAACGAATATTGAAAATAAATTTTATCTTATCTCAAAGTCTTTACCTAGTATCAAAAAATTGATCAATATCTGTTGCAGTTTCCTTATTGGTGAACATAATTATTCAAAATTCTTTGAAATAATTGAATTCTTTAGAAGAATTATAATAATAGGTAATTTTAAAAATAATTGCTTTTTTTGAGGAATTTATTAAAAATTGTAATAAAACATAATTCAGGTCAAGAGGCAAACATAAGCAGAAAACTGAAAATTACTAAATGAATCATGAAAATAAATATCTAAAATAATAAATAAATAATAATAAATAAATAATAATAAATGAAAAAGTGAATATTTATTTCAAGTCTTGGACTAAAGTTAGAAATAAAAAAAAATGTTTGGTAATAGTTCAAACATTATTTAAATATTTTTTTACTAATATTTTTTTGAAGCTAATTTACAATATTATTATTGAAGTTCTTTCAATTACAATTTTTCAGAATTCAATTACTTTAAAAATTTGCATTTAAAATTCTTCAAAAATAGATTTTCAAAAATTTTAATAAAACAAAAAATTCAATTATTTTTCATAAAATTTTTAAAAATTCAAATATTCATAAAACCTTTTACAAAAATTCAATTAGTTAAAAACTTCTTAATTATACATTTCAAAAATTTTATTATCTTCAAAAAATTATTCTAAACAAATTTTCCAAAAATTTGAATAGTTTTTAAAGAAAAAAATTTTTAAACTCGTTTTTTCAGATAATTAAATCTACACAAACAAGTAATTGAGATTTTTAATAATTGAATTTCCAAAAAGAGTAATTGAATTTTTTTGTTGTTTCTTCCTGGAAATATTTTTTACCGCAATTTTAAATACAAAATTTTGTTTCAAAATAATTTATTTTGAGCGCTTGACAACCATTTAAAAACTATTGCTTTGTTTTTAACATATTTTTAAATATTTATTATTAGAAAAATTTGTTTTTGAAAAAGAAAATATCTTCAAGGTTTTAAAACTAATTTTCAAGTTCTAAAATAATAATCATTTGTTTTACACTGACATAAACATTTCTTTATGTAAATTTCTAAACAAAAAATTCTTTTATTTTTAAGATGTATACAATTATTTGTATAATTAACGAATATAATAAATATTTAACTATATATTTAATTATCAATAAATTCAATTCTTTTCATTATTACCATTAAATACTATAAATTTATTTGACTATTATTTACTATAACATTCTTTTTATTATTAATATTGATAATTTTTACTACTATTTTTACTATTTATTTATTCTTTTTGCTGTTAAAATTGACAATTTATATTTTTTTCAACTGTTTTACTATTTTCACTATTTATTAATTCTTTTTACTATTCAACATTAATTTTATTATTACTCAAATTTTACTATCAAAATTTAAGTTTTTAAGATCTTTAAATAATTCGAGGCAGTTTTAAACAATATTTTTTCCATTATAAACATTACTTTGTCTCAAAATTTCTGAAATTAAGATTAATTTCTCGACCTTCGACCTATAAATAGATAAATTTTTTCCAAATTAAATTTTTTTTACTAAATTTTTTCTAAATTAAAATTTTTTTCGAAATAAATTTATAAAAATTTCAAAAATTTTTACACCATATTCGTTTTTTGATCTGTGAATTTTGACCTGAATTTTTAATTTTGTTTGCCTTTTGTCCTATGACTTTCAATTTATAATTTAAAATTATATTTATTATAAATAAAAGCATAAAATAAATAAAAAAATGTGTAAATTTCCTCAAATAATAATTTTAGAAAGGGGATAAAAATATTTTTAATAATAAAAAATTCTTTTAGAGTATTTTTAATAGTAAAAGTACTTTTAATAAACAAAAGTCTTTTGAAGTATTTTTCAATAATTAAAAGTACTTTTTAAGTATTTTAAATATTAATAAAAAATATTTTTTAAGTATTTTAAATATTAATAAAAAATACTTTTTAAGTATTTTAAATATTAATAAAAAATACTTTTTGAGCATTTTAAATAATACAAAGTATTTTTTTTAATTTTGGTAATAAAAGTACTTTTTAATAACAAAAAAGGCTTTTTGGGTGTTTTTAATAATGAAAAGTACTTTTTAAAGTATTTCAAATAATAAAAAATACTTTTTGAGTATTTTTAATATTAAAAACTACTTTTTATCTATTTTTTAAAAGAAAAACTACTTTTGAACTATTTTTAAAACGATAGGTTAAAGAAAGACTACAACGAAAGAATAAAAGTAAAAAAGTATCGATTAATTTCAATAAATAAAAGAGAATAAAAAGAAGAGAAAAATGTTTCATTTTCTTTTTCGAAAAGATGAATTGACGTAAAGTTCATGGTCTAAGGAGAAAAAGGGGAAGTACACCCACGTAAATGAGCAGTAGACGTCAAATAAGGAAAACTATGCTGGGACGCATGATCAATATGTTTCACCCCATAAAATTTATTTACCCTATTTATACACTTTATTTATATAACACAAATTTTTATTTCCAAAGAAAATAATTTCAATTTCAATTTTACTCTATATTCAAATAAAAGAAAAAATACCACTTACCTTAAAATATTGATCAGGCACACGAAAAGCCTGAATTTCAAAAATAAGAAAAAAAATAACAAAAGAACAGACACTTGTATAGGCAGAGTACTTCATGCTTTTTGAAAAACAATCATCAAAAAAAATTTCTTTTCCTTTTCTTCTCTCTCAATTTTCCCCAATATTGACACTTTCATTCATATTATTAATAAAAATATATGTCGAGATTTTTCTTTTTCAAAATCCAAGAAACCAAACTTTTCTTCTTTTAAAAATGAAATAATTTTTTGAAAATGAAAAATTTTCTATTCTATATTTCCGTGTTGGAGAAAAAATTAAATTTTTCCGAACGATATGTTTATTAATTATTACACTTGAATGTGAAATTAGAAATTATTTTTTTCACCGAAGGATTAAATTTTAATTCATAATTAACGATTCACAGAGAGACAGTTATAATGTTTTATAAATTTTTTACTTGTTTTTTTTTTATTTTTTTCGGAGCACAAGTGTCTACGTGTCAGACATTGTGAACGTGACGCGCAACTATGTTATCCGAACAATAGTGAGTGGTACTCATTCAAACAAGTTTTCATCGTTTCTTCAAAGATGTCACTACCTTTCTGATTTGTGACCAGAATTTTATTCTGTTGGTCCTGCAGAAATCTACTTTAATATTATAAACATATTTTTTTAAATAAAAAAATATATTTATGAAATTTTGTTTTAATAAATTATTTAAATTATTTATTTTTTAATTTTTTTGTCATGATTTTTAAGATAATTTATTTATAATAATGTTTACAATTATTTGTTTATAATAATGTTTATAATAATAATGTTTATAATAATAATGTTTATATTAATTTGTTTATAATAATTATTATAGTATAAAAAAGCAACGAGGCTTCAAAATAATTATTATTTATAACTAATTAATTTATGATTTGTAATTATAAAAAACATTATTTTTAGATTTCTTTAAAATAATTAATTTTATTATTTATTTATTTATCTGTAACTTATTGGAATTTATTTTTATAATAATTTATTTATTATAAAGTTTCGAATAATAATTTGCTTTTTTTGTTCTTCAATTTTTGTGTCATTTAATGATTTTTATGAGAATTTAATTATAATAATGTTTATAATAGTAATTATAGTAAATAATTATTTAATGCTTCCAAATAATAATTTATAATTAAATAAATTTCTTAAGTAATATATTTTGAGCGCTTGACAACCATTTAAAAAAAATTACTTTAATTTAACTTTTTTAAAAATATTTATTGTTAGAAAAAATTGTTTTTGAAAAAGAAAATATCATTCAAGGTTTTAAAACTAATTTACAAGTTCTAAAATAATGTTTATAATAATAATTACAGTAAGTAATTATTTAATGCTTCCGAATAATAATTTATAATTATAATTAAATGAATAATTTGTAATTCATATTTAAAAAAAAATTATTCTTACATTTTTATAAAAATATACAATTTTATTATTTATTTTTCAATTTTTTTTGTAATGATTTTTGTAATAAATTTTTTATAATAATGGTCATAATAATAATTTGTTTATAACCATTATAGAAAATGATAATTATTATTTATAATTGTTTAATTTTTAATTTACAATTATAAAAAATATTTTTTTTAAAATAATTTATTTATTTATCAATTTTTTCGTTATGGCTTTAATAATTTATTTATTATAATTAAAGACGACCGAGTGATAAAATCATTATTTTATATTTATAATAATGTTTATAATAATAATAATAATAATTATTATTATTATTATTATTATTATTATTATTATTATTATTATTATTATTATTATTATTATTATTCACAATTATTTAATTTATATAAATTAGTTATAATTAAATTATCTTTATTACAGTGAATAATAATTATTTTAGTACCTAAATAATAAATATTTACTTATCATAATTATTGTACTAGCAAATAATCAGAACTTACGTAAATGAACATTTATTTCTTACTATTAATAATTTAAAATTACTAATCACTTTCGTTAATAATAATAACAACAAAAGAAATAGTTAGTAATTACTTTCTTATCATAATTATTGTACTAGTCAATAATTATTAATTATGTAAATAAATAATTATTTCATTTGTTATTAATATTATAATTAAAAAATTATTAAATTACAATTAGTATGAATCATTATTACTTTTAATTATTTTGTAGAGTAAAAACAAAAAATCACAAATTTTTAATTATTGTTCAATATTTTAAAAATTTGTTGCAATTTTCTTTGTAATATTTTTTAGAAATAGTAAAAATTGTTTATTAAAAAATTATTATTATTATTATTATTATTATTATTGTATATCATGGATTAAACGAAATTACTATCAAAATAATGTTTTCTTTACCATGTTTAATTTTGCAGTAAGCCCTACTTTATTATCATAATTATTTATTATTATTATTATTTTTATTCTTGTTATCATTATTTCTATAATAAATCGTGAATCATAAATATTTTGCTTAAATTATATGCCCTATTAATATTAGTCTAAAATTTAGAACGTACAAAATTCATTATTCATTTCATGTTTTTCATGAATATTTTGAATAATATTTGAATCTCACTTATTGCTCACGATTCAGCATTATTATTATTATATTATTATTATTATTATTATTATTATAAATTTTATTTTTTTATTATTAATTTTATTTTTATTCTTATTAATATTATTATTATGTTTTAAATAAAAAATTCCAAAGTAAAATTTATAGGAAAAAATTCATATAGTTTTAATGAGAAATTGATATCGAAGAGTAATTTTAATATAATATTAATGTTGAAGAATTCGCGACAATAATTCTTTTTTAAAGAGACTTTTCTTCTTTTCAAGTACTTATGGTACTATGCGCGCATGTAAAACTAACACAGGAAATGGGCTCGTAAAAATCCAGTCATTGAAATATACATTTAAAATATTTTTACAACCCCATTTCAATGCTGGTAAGAAAGAAAAAAATCGAACAGTGTAAAATTGAATAGTAAAAAATTCTTTTACAAGTAAAGTTATTTAACAACAAAATAAGTATAGTTGAAAAATTATCATAATAAAAATTACAACAAAAATCATAATAAAAATAATTGTAAAAATCAAAGTAAAAATCATAGTAAAAATCATAGTAAAAATCATAGTAATAATCATAGTAATAATCATATTAAAAACAAACAGTATATATTCATAATAATGATATTATTTTTTGGAGAAGAAAAAAAAATTTCCCCTTTTTATGGCGCAATGATCACTGGGTATTTTTTTTCGCATATTCTTCATACAATTCCCTTTTTTTGTATTTTAAGCTTCTTTACAATGTCTGCTTCAATAACAAACGCCTAAAAGAATAATATATTAAATGCAATTGTTGTCACTGCATTTTAAAATATGCGGGGAGGAAAAATCTTTACGACTCTCATACACACTTTTTGTTGAGCGATGAAAAAGCTGAATCCGGCACTGATGTAAAAAGTAAAAAAGTAAAGGAAAAAAAAAAATTCAAAAAAACAAAAAACTCTGCACTTGAAACACAAAAAGTAGATTACGTGCTTCATCTCTGGAAATAAAAAAAAAAAAATGCTGCGCATTCTATTAAGTGTAAAGCGTCAAAAACTCCATTTGCGTGTTTTTTTAATCTTATTTTTAGCTTCTTTCAATATTAAATACATTTCACCCTCTCTTCCTCCATTCATTTAATAGCCAATTATCTCGTCTCGAAACTTATCATTTTAAAAAGGAAAGTAATGCTTTTTTTCTCGTTTACAAATAACACAATTGAAAATTGCATCTTTGTATCGAATGTGCATTAAAAAAAATACAAAAAGAATGATAAGAAATAAATAATTATGAAAAAGTAATTAGGAGGGAAATTAATAAGAGAATAATTTAAAAAAGAATTAATAATAAAGAAAAAAATTAGAAAAAGAATAAATAGTAAAAAAATTAGAAAACGAATAAATAGTAAAAAAAAATTAGAAAACGAACCAACAGTAAAAAATTAAAAAACAAATAAATAGTAAAAAAAAAATTAGAAAACAAATAAAAAATAAAAAAAAAATTAGAAAAAGAATAAATAAAAAATGAAACAATAAAAAAGAAAAGCTATAGAAAAATAAGAAAAAAATAGTAAAATAATAAAAAACAAAACAATATAAAACAAAAAAATAATAAAAAAGCAGAACAATAAAAATAAAAACAATAGACAATAAAAAAACAGTAAAACAATGAAAAATAAAAATAATACAAAATGAAGCAATAAGAAGCAAAAAACAATACAAAAAAAGAAAAAACAAAAGCAATAAAAAAATAATAAAATAATAAGAAGATAGAATAAAGAGAACAGATACATACAGCAGTAAAAAATCAAGAAAACTATTTAAAAAATAATAAAAAGTGAAACAATAAAAAACAATAAAATAATAAAGACAGAACAATAAGAACAAAAACATAAGACAGTAAAAAAAACAGTAAAACAATTAAAAATTGTATAAATAATACAAAATGAAGCAATAAAAAGAAAAAAACAACAGAAAAAAAGAAAAAAGAAAAAAAACAATAAAATAAAAAAGCCAAAAATCAAAGAACAATAAAAATTATAAAAGACAAAATAAGGAAAACAAAATAAAATGATAAAAATAAATAAAATGATGACAGCTCGAATTTTAAATTATAATCCAGAAGAAAAATTAAATATCATTTACAAAAGTGACTTCTGTAATAAATCATTTTCTAAAGAAAAAGTAATAAGGAGGATTAGAATAATAGAATAAGAGGATTAGAATAATGAAAAGAGAATTAAAATGATAAAAATAGAAAAGAGGGGAGATTATTATTCTCTGCCATAAATGCATCTGACATGAGACTAAATTAATTATTATATTAGTAAAGTTGATTATTTTTGACACGATACGGGATGAACAGATTCGAAAAAAGAATGTTAATTTTTTTTTATAAAAAGAAATGAACGCGCGCATCAAAAACCATCTAATGCCATATACGAAAGAAGCTTTTCGTACCTCTCATTGTTACTTTTCTTCCACATTATCTGATAATGGAATCTGCTTTCCGGTACTTAATATTTCATTCCTCTCTCTGTTCTTGTTCACATCATCATATACACATCACTTGCATAATTTCTATCTCTTGTAAAGCTCCAAAGAAATATGTAAATCGATTTTCTACACGTGTGAGATGATCCTCTCTCTCTATTTAATAGAAACAGTGCACTTTCGATTCCTGGTTTAATGGGATCAAAAATTAATAATTTAAAAAAATTTTTTAACTTTGTAGTTATTTTATTTTTTTTTTATTTTTTAGTATTTTTCATTCTTTTATACTAAAAAGCCAAGAGAAATAAATATTTTACCAAATGCTTTTCTTTTCTACTGAGTCAAAATTGAAAACTTTTGGAAACATTCTGTCAAAAAGAATTCTATAATATTTTTTGCAAAAATTTGTGTCTGACTAAAACTACTTTTTACTAC